ATTTCATTTGCTTTTATAATCAAATATTCTGAATTTATAATATCAACATAAATTAATTGAACAAATAATTTATGTATTTCATTGGAAATCTGCATTTTCATAGAATTTATTATATTCATTGAATCAACACTGACTCAAAAATAGCTTACAATATATTCTGGATAAATCTAAAAACTCTTACAGTTTCCAAGTTTTGTCACTTTAGTAATAAGCATGAATTTATACCGTATATTTAGGCTACAAATTAATAGTGGAAACATATAATAAATTAATTGAAACCAGAATTGTTGTGACCTTTCATTAAATCAAATATAAAAGGAGTCGATCTAATCGTTTGACAAAATCATAAACTTTTTTGAAAAGTGAAAGAAAACGTAAAAATAGTTTTCATTTCTGATATATTAGCCGTCAGTGAGTTATGTGTCGTCTGAACTGAAAGACTACTCATATATTTGTTTTTATTTAGTTGGGAGTCGTCAGCAATGTATGACTTTTAAAATTATATAAATTATAATTTTATAGAAAGAATCAAAACTTCCTTAAAGTGGCTGTGCTTTTGTAACAGCTTATTAAAATGTATAACACGTTCACATAAATATAGAAAATTTAAAATAAATTACGAAATAAATAAAATAACAAAAAGTTTTATTTGAAACATTCATTCAATGAGTTTAATTTAAAGTTAATGAAAATTTTGTCCGAAACATTTAAAGAGTAATATAATAAAGTGAATATAAATTTGATTTATAATAGAGAATAGGTTAACAATAAGAATGGCTATAGTAATGAAAATCTCATTTTATTTGTTATTATTCGTGAGTTTTATAATATGATACCAAAACTTAAAGCTTGAAATAGGATTTTGTGATGAGTTTTAATTCATTAAATGGTTTTGTTGTAATGATTGAATCGATGCTCACATTCATGTGTATTGTCTGAATTCATTGTCAGTATATGTGATGAGCTTTCTTAATATCACGGCTATTGTCATGCATTCAATGACTTCAATGTATTCAATGCAACCACAAGACAATTGGTGCCAAATTAAGGACCACTCCTTTAATTAAATCAGAAAATTTAAATTAAAAACTGATGGCAATACTTGCTGTGAATTAAAGTCGTGGTTATTGTTTTAAATAGTTGTTCTCCAGTTTCCTGTGTTTAATAGGAATGGCTTACGACAAGTCACTCGCTGTGCCCCCTGTGCTACCTGTGCTCAATGCTATACACTTAAGGGCACAGAATAGTGTAATTCCTAAGCATTATATGAGAGAAATGTAATAAAAGGTCGTCAGTTAGAAAGAGATCGTCATTTGTCAAGTCGGCAGTCATTGGAGAGATGGCAGACATATATGATGTCAATTAGTTGATGGCATATAATCGGTTATGTGCCGGTGCCGCCAACCTATGATTCAATGCAATCTCTGAGCGCCAGTACATAATATTTGTGTTCAAATTGAGTGCCTTTCACTAAATTGAATGTTTGGATGTCTTGGTTTCATAATTTGCGGTTTTGTATTTCATATCCAAACCACTCAAACCTCCCGATCCCTGCGAGCACTGAATATTTGGTTTTAATTCCGCCTCTTATGCCGAAAATGCAAATTCAATGCCCTTTTTGTATATGAATTGCCGAAAGCCATCAAAATATCGTAATCGCAATGACTTTCTATAGCTCTCTATTAACTGATTTCTGATTTGCAGTACAATTACAGTAATGCTCGACTCTATGTATGCAATCACTGGTACCTCCAATGCCTCGATTGCCTCCGTTTATAGCATTTCATAATAATAATGACAATCTTTTCTTAACGTCTTTACGACGTGCCAAACATTATGCCAAACATTTGCCAAACATTTTCGCTCCGGTCTATAGGCACACAAACTTGACTTCAATTCGAGTTTCGCTTCGATTTCCAAATTAAAGTTTAGATTCACTTGAATTAAGCGAACCATTGAGTAAAGGAAAGGGAGGAAAGGGAGAAAAGGGAGAGATGTAACGAAAATGAAGTTCTTGTATAGAGTAGAGGACTGTTTAGTGTTGTGAGAGTCGGAGCGGAGAGTTGGCACCTAAGACCTCATCACCAAAAGACGGATAACACCTGAGGGCATAGTTTTGATATAAACTTATATACACTATAAGTATAAGTAATTCTATATTTATATACATTTATACAAAACACGAATACATTCTTATGTTTGGAGAAGTGATTGCTATTGCAGTGATCGGTGAGCACTCACTCACTCACTGCCTCACAACCACACCATTGAGTCGCACAGTGTTGTAGTGAAAGCCTTTAGAAAATGTTAACTTTTGAATTATATGCCCCACAGCCACAGATCATCAAAAATACATCAATTTGGTTGACTATAAACTGACTATAAAATCGCAATTTAATTGATTCCCGACATATGAGCCGACGATTCATGAAAATTATTGTGCAGTTTGTGTTCTCTCTTGTTATTAGTGTCTTAGAGTCGAGTGAAGCCTAAGTGTAGCCAAATCTGTTGCTTCTGTCATCAGCCGCTGCTTTAGTCCCTAATTTGCAAACATATTATAATATATTATATAATATACACTACTGTAAGCATTAATTTGCAAACTATGAGGAAAGTTATGTCCACTTCTCTCTCCGTATGAGAAATACAAGTAAAACAAATTAATGCATTAAATACAGAGACAAGTAATCCCTGTCATTTGTTTTAATACTAAGTTTGTGTCCAAATGTGAGACACAAAACGGAGACAATAAAATACGGACAAACATTAAATGTGACGACAATTGAGAGCTAATAATATGAATGAATACAAAGGAAATGAAACGAATTTTACATTCAATAATGATTTTTGAAAAATTCATTTCATATTATAGTAGCATATATTGAGGTATGATTTGATGTGTACTACTAGTGCTAACTCATTAGCAGTGAATCGCTAACTAAAGCCTATGTCAGACACAAAGAATCGCTGAGACAGAGAGGGAAGACTGGAGTTGTGGTGTAATAGAGGCATCATTACAGTCATTACAATCATTATTAGTTAGCATTGCATTAACCGCTTATTTTGCTCACCTCTCAGCTCATGAGACATACCTTTCAATTGGGTTTCAGCCTCTTTGTGGCAAACATTCAATTTCGCTCTTATATTATAAGTATTGGTGCCTTTTGTGGCACAGGTATGCGCTCTGAAAATAAGGCTCTTATGATTTGCTTTGCATTTCTCATTGCTGAGTGCATTCTGTGGCAAATATAGTGAATCAGCCCATAATTGTTGCAATCATTTGGCCGCTGGTTTGCTCAGACCCAGCATTACGCCGCTGTCTACCTGTGCTAACTATGATACCTGTGCTCTCTGTGGCTTCTCTCTCCTTCTTAAGTAGGCAATGATTTATGTGCTCAAAATTGTTAGTAAACCTGATCTGTTTTGTTTGTGTTAACCACTGCTATCATCATTATTCTCAACATTTTCTACATTAAATACCAAATAATCTTTAAAAATATTTATTTTACAAAAAAAGGTAAATATTTTGCCAAATCTTTTCAAAAAATCGTTTCTGTTTTTTGCATTTTATTAAATGAATTAAAATTTTTCTGTTTTTAATTTTGCTTTTAGTTAGATTTATATATTATGTTATATATTAATTTTGTATTGAATTCATAGTTTTGTAATTTTAACATTTTATCTCAAATTCTCGTTTTTATCAAATGTTAACAAAATTAATGGGAATTTTATTTTTGAATGTTTTAATTAAAACTTTTTCTCATTTTTTCAATTAACACTTTTCATACAATGTGTTGCAATTATCTCATCCAAAGGGTGTGCATATGAAGGGAATTCTGCATAAATTATTCTGTATATACAAATAATTGTCATCAATGAATGCAATTTCCTTTTCTTATACTTATGTCAAGAATTCTATGAGAAATAAAAGATGACTTACGAGTCAACCGACTTCTACTGACTCTTAGTCTTAAGGTTTGCCTCACATTTGAATAGAAAGGAAGTCTTCACTGAGAATAGAGTTGCAGAGGATTTGACGAAAGAAAAGCTCAGCAGACGAGCAGACAATACAAACACTCTTATCTTTGGCCAACAAATTAAATACAGTTTCTGTGATAATCTCTCTCACGATTAAAGTTTTCTTCTTTAAAATCATTTTCACAGTAATAACAAGTTGTAAAGCAATAGATATTAACTTTAATTACAGGTTTTATGCGTTAATAAATAAATTTGTACCAGAGCTCTCTCTCTCTCTCTCTCTCTCTCTCTCTCTCTCTCTGACGCTAAATTTAGCATCAAACTTTTTTAAACGATTAAATTTTTTCAGATTTTTTTGAGCGCACATTAAGTTTAAATATCGCATTATTTGAATGACTGAATGAAAGCCAGAATAAAAATGGCGAATAATCATTGAATAATTTAATTTAATGTCATTATAATATCTCTGTTTTGATATTATGTGTCATTTAAATTTTCTTTTGTTTTATATACAAAGTACACTGTAATTCACTTTTCAAAGTAATTTAAATAATTATAACCAAAATGAGAGACTCGTCTAATAAGAGATGATCTAATCTTTAAGTGCGAAAGTAATGCTGTTTTTATGGGTAGTCTCTGTCTTCAGAAGTTTTGAGAAAGATTTACGAACTGAAAGAAAGTCGAAAAAATTAATTTCATTTGATTTGATATATTATTCTTGAAATATACACGAGTTCTATGACAGCAGTTATTTGATAAGTGCTTTGGAGAGAAAATTTCCGATATTTTATCAGTTTATATGTCGACCAGTCGTTAAACATTTCAATCAAAATGCGATTTCACTCAAAGACCGGCTTTTATTTCTTAATTAATTTATTAGAAAGAAAGAAATCAAAGAAATCAGAATAAAGCAAATCTATAGAGAAATTGCTCCAAAAATCTCTTCGCTAAAAGAAAATCGAAATCAAAATAAGAGTAAACTTTTTGCAGATATTGAGCCGAGATATCGAAATAAAATAATCATTTATTGTGAGCCGAATAAGTAAATAGTTTTTTCCTCTATTTTCAAACTTGTTTTCATATAAGAGACTCCAACAAAACTAAATGAAGAAATAATTAAGTTTTTTATCTCATATTTATTTAAATTATTTCCAGAAATTCCATCATTTCATCGATTTTTTCTGCGCTTAAGACACAAAAAGAAATTATAATAAATATTTGATTGCGAAGTAATTGTGAGGAAAATGGATTTGCGAACCAATTCCCGGACGACAGGTATAGAGAAGATGGAGAAACTGGAGACCGAGAAAATCAAATTCAATATCGACGGTCTCATTGGATCGCATACTAACTCAGGTATCCATTCAATTCAATTAGGAGTACAAGTTGTTTGCCTCAAATACAAATGACTTAATTTGGTTTAAACGCGAAAAATAAATAAAAATTTCTCATTTATTGATTTGAATAATTAAAACTTAATATTTGTTTTACTCATTGCCTTTCATCTCTTATTCTACTTTTGTTTTGTGTATTCATTAAAAGCAAAAATTTTCGATTGAATAATGTAATGACATTTGGAATAATTACCGCAAAATTACTTTCTCATCGCTTAACTATTAAAACTCAATTTAGTCTTCAGTTTAGAAATTATATAATAAATAAAATCAAACATGAAAAAAGGTATTGAGTTTGCATTGCATTACAGTTTGCTTATATAACTACAGCTCTCATAAAATCACTTATCATTGCTATAGAATTCAGCCTAAATTCTGAAGCGATTATCGCTTAATCATTGGTTACTTATATATTTTGCAAGTAATTGAGACAATAGTTAGTTATGCTTATCATTACAGGCAGTACTCGTGACCCAACGCCGACAACCACTACATCACCTCTTCATCTGCATCCACACCATCACCACAACAGCACCAATGGTACGCCTCCACAGCCACTGTCTGTGTCTCAGGTCACTCATCCACTGTCGCATCCAGTCATAGGTCCGGCCGCTCTGTCACATATGGCCGGTCCCTTCTCTCCCTTTCAAACGGCAGCTGTCAGTAAATTATTGGGTGAGACATCCATTGCACCATATGCAGCACCATAATTGCTGCTAATTTATTATTAATCATAATATCATATCATAACTATATAGCTATATATACAACTAAATTTCTATATCATAACTATATAACTATATATACAGCTAAATTTATATATCATAGATATACCCATTATATATACCGTAATAAATATACTGTATATAAATAAGACACACTTCTTGGACGACATGATTACTCATTTGTTTTTATTAAAGCGAAGTTCCGTTCCTTCAAACACACAATTACTTTACAATTAATGTCTTTCAATCATGACTTTTGAATCAATTTTCTATTATAACGTATATTTGAATCCCTTTTTAGCTAACCTTTCATATCATATATTAAACAAATCTATTTTCACGCGAGTTTTAGTGCAGTTCAAAAGCAGACTATTATAATAGAAGTCAAATCAGATTAGATATAAAACAAAAAGCTTTTGAAAGTAATACTAAAGTTAGGCATTGGATTGGCACCATAATAGCACCTGTATCCGGTTCTTGTGCTGTAATTGCCAACCCTTTCATTACTTGTCATAAAGACGAATAAAGTATTCAAACCTTTTTGATTATCTAAAAGAAACGAATTTAGCTTTTATTGTCGGGGGGCAGGGGAGGGCAGGTGTGCCTCTGTTTATGGCATTTGTTAATATGTAAGTCATTTAAAAAACTAAATACTTTTCGCATCTTTTTTTGTTGTTTCAACTAAAGTATGATTTGTTGTATTGAATCGCTTAACAAATTAATATATTTCTTTATTTGATAAATACGTGAGACTTATATCTGAGTCGAAATGACTGCTTAGCTAATGGTTAGACAATGCGAGTGATAGGGGAGTGAATAGATGAGCAAAATTATCTCATAAATGCATTTATTATGTCAATTGTCAGGTCGTTATTACGAGGCGTCTTCAGGAGCGTCCGCGGCCGCCCTCTTTCGGTCTCCCAATCACTCGACGGTCATCGGGGGCTCCAAACCAAAGGTCGCGACACCCGTTGTGGTCAATAAGATTGAACAGTACAAGAGGGAGAACCCAACCATCTTCGCCTGGGAAATACGGGAACGGCTTATCAGCGAAGGTATAATTAAATGATTTCAATTATAATTTGTAAACTCATATCAATAACTGGTGAATGAGTTGATGCAAAATTCATTAACTGATAACTTAATGGACGAGTGATTAATTGAATGCTTTGGGCATCGCTTTGAGTCGCGAATAGAAAAAAGACTAAAATTCTGGAAATTTCGCGACAAGTTTTGTGATTATATTTTTGCACTTTTTATAACCAAAATAGCGAATAAATCTTCGCTTTTTTGCATTCAATGTAAAGCTGTTGTGAGATATTGTCAGATATGACTCGTATAATAAATGATTGCTTTCGAAAAGTGAATTATTTTGCATTTTCTCTAATGTATTGGACAGACATCTAAAGTGTGCCTCACATTAGCGGCCGATGAGTAGAAAATTGCGGTTTATTTATAACTCACGAGTAGAGCCATGAAAAGTCGTTTTGATATCGGATTTCAGTTAGGAATACAAGTGAGTGATTGCTCAGTGGGTTTAGGCTGAGGTGGGGTAAGGCTCAGGTAGGCTCAGGTAGTAATGTGTGAAATTGGCCACAAGACAACACAATTACTCGCATGAATTAAATGCCTCCAATGCCTGCACACACCCAACAGGTTTGCTCATTCAGACCATTGTTTATGCCATTCATTGAAACCTCTTGTTTGGCGCAACGGCTTCTCACATACATCTCGACGACTATAGCCAGGGATGTCTGAGCGATGCACTGGTGCCTAACCATTGCATTTGCAAAGACAGGAAGTATTGGTATTTGTCACTTGATTATAGTGTTGGCGTTTCCGGCACTCAAATCTAATTCATAAAAGTGAATAAAAGCCCCAAAAAAGGTTACCCGTCCTCAGCTCCTCTCAAACATTAAGACATGTTTAAGAAGTGACTCAAACTTTACTATTACTTGACTTTCAATTATAATTCACATCTGAGTTACACTCTAATGACTTTCTGTGTCCTCACTCTCACTCTCATCCCCTCTAAACTTGATTTCAGTCTAATTCATGATTGTTGTCCCAAAATGCTAGCCCTCACTCACAAACACTATTAAAATAAAATAGTTTTTCGTTCAATTTATCATTAGATTAAGAAAAAGGAAATTTCGAAACGAATTAGTTGTTTGTGAAACAAGAAATGAATAGTTATGTACTCACAGTCAGTATTGCATTGTAATGGTGTGCCTCTCACTGCCATTAATGCCTAACTTCTGATCAAAACATTGTTGTCTTAAACATCATTTGATTTATAGAGTCATTTAAGACATAAATCTTATCATTCATTGAAACGAAAATATAATTTACATTTTCCTTTGACTATATCTGTGAGACACCTGAAGGGGGAGAGGATCTGAAATATTTGCAATTCTTAATGTAAGCGACATTTTCCAGAATCCAGATAATTGTGTAAACTTTAAAAGTGTATTAGTTTTGTGAAGAAGCAAAAAACGTGAATCAAATAATCTGATTATAAAGCATTACATAGTTATCAATGCATTGACTGAACGTTACTCTGAAATACAAGTCCTAACAAACACTTCAATGTTTGCTTTGGTTTGGGTTTACGCGCGACGCGAACAACAACTTAATTAACTCTAAAAGAAATGACATTTTGGTATTCAGTGGTTGGAAACCAACTTCAAACAGATCCCAAATGCAAAGGCAGAAGCAGTTTATGTGAGAGTCTATACGTCCTAATTGAGAGATTGCGTCAAAATGCAAAGATGTGAGCGCCGGAGTGATCAGTGGTTGCACCCATACTCATACCCATACCCATAACCAATTGATAACCTCAGTTAACCCATAGTGACTGATTGGCATCAGAAAAATGAGTTCTCAAAAATGCCAACAAATGCATCACAAATGAACTCCAAATGAAAAAAGCACTGAAATATTGCTTCAAATATAAGCGAAAGAAAGAAAATATAAGAGAATTTCGCATAACTTTTAGTTCAACTGAGAATGACTTGACTTTTAATGAAAGCTTAGCTTTTAATGAGCGCTAAAGATAACACCGAAGATTGAGTTGAATTGAGTGATAATTAATTAAAATATTGAGTTTTAATTCAAGTTGATTTGTTTAGGTGTCTGTACCAACGGAACGGCACCCTCTGTCTCATCAATCAATCGGATCCTTAGGAACAGAGCCGCCGAACGCGCGGCCGCAGAGTTCGCCAGAAATTATCAGTTGGCGGCCGCAGCCACTGCCGCCTCCGTTCACTACCCACTGGCCCCTCACCCGCACCACCATTCAGCACATCCTTCTCACCCATATGCGGGTCAGTCATCCTAAATCTTATAATAAATATCGGTTCCTATAGTTAAGTCTTGAATGACATGTAAAACAGGAGGCAATTCAGGTCACGCCCACCAAATGTACGCCGCCTGGGCTGCAGCCGCGACGGCTGCTGCACTGGCCTCTCACCAGCACACACACGGCCAGTCCGGTCACCACTTCTGGCCGCCATCCCCCCTAACTCACGCCGCGCTCCTCCAACAACAGCACAATAATAGGGATGAGTTGGAGAACAACAGTCCAAGAGGTGAGTCCAAGAATGCAAACGTTTTGCGATTATTTGGTTAAGTAATGCAATGAAGTTTGTGTCAAATCTTTCAGACCTGGATAGAGATGTGGATAAGGATGACATTAAGCACAATAGCAATAGCAGTAATCATAGCAACTCTTCCTCACCAAACCACAGCAACACATCAGCCGTTCTCTCACAACAACAGTTAGCATTCGATCCGCACCTGACATTCGACCCGAACTCGAGTTCCGCCAAATTTCGCCGAAACAGAACCACTTTCTCTCACAATCAGCTCGAAGTACTCGAAGAGGAGTTCGAGAGAACACACTATCCCTGTGTCACTACCAGAGAAAGACTCGCACAGATCACCAGCTTGTCTGAGGCCAGAGTTCAGGTCAGTCTCACAGCCATACTACCAGGGTATCAATACTACCAGGGTACCAGCAATACTATCTATTTTACAGACAATCCTATTCATTATGTCTAAACGCCTATATATTGGTGCCATTTGTCTAATTATACTTATATTTACATCAATATTACTAACTATAAGTAATTATAAGTCAATAATTATTCTTAATAAAATATAAATAAATAATAAAGTTATCAATTATTTGAGTCTCAATCAAATAAAGCCAACTCAAAATAGCTCATAAACAAGAAATATATTTCATTTAGATTTAATATTTCTATGATAGAGTAATGCTTTTGTTTTGTTTTGTTATAAATCTTGGTCATAGCTTCTAAGCAACTTCTAATTGAATCTCACAATCAGCTCGAAGTACTCGAAGAGGAGTTCGAGAGAACACACTATCCCTGTGTCACTACCAGAGAAAGACTCGCACAGATCACCAGCTTGTCTGAGGCCAGAGTTCAGGTCAGTCTCACAGCTATACTATCTATTTTACAGACAATCCTATTCATTATATCTAAACGCCTATATATTGGTGCCATTTGTCTAATTATACTTATATTCACATCAATATTACTAACTATAAGTAATTATAAGTCAATAATTATTCTTAATAAAATATAAATAAATAATAAAGTTATCAATTATTCGAGTCTCAATCAAATAGTCAACTCAAAATAGCTCATAAACAAGAAATATATTTCATTTAGATTTAATATTTCTATGATAGAGTAATGCTTTTGTTTTGTTTTGTTATAAATCTTGGTCATAGCTTCTAAGCAACTTCTAATTGAACTAAATATTAAAATAGAATTTTTCGTCAATTTTGCTTTTTATTTATAATAAAACTATTAAATTATTTATTTTATATATATCATAACGACATGTATTACAATATTTATAATGTTTTATAGCATATAAGTTAGAGTTTATGTAGTAATAATAATAACTTTTATCATTTTTTGCAAATATAAAACTCATTTTATTTTATTAATCAAAAAATTCTGTTTTACATATTGTAGTAAATAATTACATATTATACAGTATTATATATATAAATAATTTTTTTGAAATAATGGCTCCTAAATAAAAACATACAGGTATGTAGTTATATGCAATTGATCATCACATGCAAAATGAACATCAAATTGAATATTTAGGACTTTTAAAGATTAACTTTGAATTATTGAATTGAACTGAAAATGAGTGAATGACTGAAACGATTGATTTGAAAGTAATGTATATAAGAAATGTGTAATTTTTACGAGGAAAATGAAATAAATGTAATAATGAATATGAGAAAAGGGAAGCAAATGAATGGCATAATTGTAAAATCAATACAGTATTACAAATTGATTGGCTGTGCTTTGGTTTGCTTGCGATTGTGCAGCGCCGACAGCATTGCACCCAAAGCTATACTATCAGCCATTCAATAGCGCAGACCTGCCGTACAATTGCTGCTTATTATTACAATTATTACTGTATTATTATTATTGGTTTCTTGTTATGAGTTTTTATTTTTCTATTCGCGGAATACAAATGAATACCATTTGCTATTAAAATAGATTGCGTGACAAATATGTTATATGTTATGCAAAACCTTTAGATATGTATTCCTGTTAACAAAGTGAGAGATAGGGCGACAATACCTTTCTTCCACCACCAGCTCTCTCTCTCTCTCTCTCTCTACCTCTCGACTGCGTGTGTCTGCGGTTTGTGTGTCTGTTTCGGCCAAAATGCTAAGCAATTAGTGATTTGATAGAAACACAAATCAATTTCTACAAAATTTAATCTACACTACACTCAAACCGTTATTAGTTTTTTGTGGCATTCAATTCAGACATAAATTAATTTTTCTTTCATTCATTTCTTTGGTATGTTTGATATGATATATGCCTTCAATTTAGTGATTGTTTGCAGTATTTATTTTGAATAAATTACTTGCATTTCTAGTAATTGTTAATTCTATACAATATTAATGTTCTATTCTATGAAATGCTTGAAATAAATATAGAAATGCCTTTTGTTATATAAATTAAATTAAAGTTTTCATTAAAAATCGATTTACAGAAATACACAAAAGAAACTGAAATTTAAATTCTCTTTAAATTTATTCTCTAATTATTAGATTCTTATATAATGTAATATAACCTTTTAGTTATGCCAAATATAGTGTCAACATTTCTAACACAAGTTTATACTATTGTAAACGAATATCCAGTACTGTACAACATTTAATGAATAATGAACTTTATAATTTAATTTATTTAAATAATTTTTTAATTAATAAATATATCAATATTTAGTTTTCTTTTAGATAACAATTAATAGAAAATACTTTTAAAAAACTATTCCGGTAATTCATAAAACATTTAAAATGATTCAGATATGTATCACTAGAACAGAAAGAAAAGCAATTGTCTGAGAGGTTTCCGGTCACAAACTATACCTGGTGACTCTTACCACGAACTTATCATTCATATTTTGATTTATAAACAAAAGATTTTAAAAATTAATACCGTTTGCAGTTATGTTTGGAATGATTTATATATAAAAATTCATAACTTTTAATCATACAATTTCATACAAAATTCTTGTTAATATTTCTGTAATTTGTTAATAAGTCACTTTTGTATTTTAAATATTTTATCAAACAAGTATTGATAGTAATAAATTATTACTACCGGTAATAATTAAAATATTATTTATATATAATATTCATCATTACTCAAATATTACCAAATAAATTCAATTAAATATAATTTATTTTCATTTCATTGACTTTAATTCAGTTAATGCTTTGTTTGAAAGAGAAATTAAGGGAGAATGAAATTAATGTAATAATAATTAGTAAACATATAAATGAA